GGGGGGGGGGTAGGGTAGCGATCTTCAGACTAGAACAAAAGCCAAGAACATTCTACCCTTAAATTTACTATCAATAAGACATTCAGCATTTTTCATTTGCAAGGGTCAAAGCGCAAAATGCTAAAAAGAACACTAAAATGTCTTACCTCTCCCCCAATGACCATTATTTATATATGACAGTAAAGAGTAGGTGAAAAAGACAAATACACGAGGTATTCAAGAGCTCCCACTGAATTAGCATTGCCGATGAAGCGTGAATATTGACAATAACAACTTGAAAATGTGCTAAATGTTTGGTAGAAATTAGGGTCAAATCTGTTGACAGACCATTACAGAATGTTTGCAAACAATTCCCACAAAAAATGACAATCTACAAGACCTGTATATTTTATATCCTGAATAAAGTGCTGAACTAGGTTCAAAATATCAGAGGTATTTCATAGAGAATATCGTTTATCGAAAGAAAAAAAACATTTCAAATGTTGCAAAAAAAGATGAAGTTCAAAACAACAGAATCTGTTCGATGTGGCACTGTTTGGAAATAAATTTAGATTGCTCATAATCTAGTAAATAAATCTCAACGTGTAAATCAGCTACCTGAAGGGGCATCATGAGCGGTTGCTGAACGACCCGGTTACCGCAGCGTTTGCTGCACTTGCATAACCGATTGCACTCATATATGCCGTAGACGACAGGTTTGTTCGACAGGCGCCGATTTCGATATCGGGCTGATCGACTAAAACAGTTTTGCTGGAGAGTCAGAAGCTGACACGAACACTCTTGCGGATTGATGCAGTCGTCTTAAATTAAACATATCAGCAGCTAAGAAAAGCTGTATTCTGAAATTCGAAAATATCATAATGAGTGTACAATTTGATTATTAAATAAATTAATCGCAAACCTCATTAATTCGAAACTTTTAAGCACAAGAACTAAGGCCGAATGAATAAATTAAATACAAAATTACCTAACAATCTGCTCCTAATCGTTATTCCAAGAAACTTTTTACTCAATGATCATAATAGTTGATAACATCAACTAATTTGGCTCTGAACAACGTGAAATAGAATTTTCGTTAAGTCACATCTCACTCTATATTATACTATATTATACTCTGTCCAACACTTCCACCACAAAGTGTTCACTAGGCAAAACATGTTCGATTTATAAAATTATATTTTGCCTAAAAAACTGCTGTAACATAAGGGGGCAGAGCTAGCGTCATTAATCTTTCAGTGGCTACTGAACAGGGCATCATGCTGTTAAATTTGCGGAGACTGAAACAGTGTACAATTAGCGACCCGTTCAGACGATTAAAAGTTTTACAGTTTAAAGGGAATCACTAATAAATCTATTTTTCAGTTACAGAAAACAGTAATTAAGCTTCATAATTTTTACAGACAGATTTTAAACGGATTGATTTTTTCTCTCATACTTGATGAATTTGTAACAATTTTACACTACAATGCATTAAGTGCATAACTGTGAACAATGATCATGTTAACATTCCCATTATTTTGCCTACTAGAGATATAAAACTGTATGTACCACCTTGAAAATAAATGTTCTGGAACTGGATTCGTATCACATTTAATAGACAGTTCGACTTTTATCATAAATTTCGAATTAACCAGGTTTGACAATATATAAAAATCGGTTACCGATTATTGAAATAATAGTGTATTTCCAAGATTCTAAAACTAATACCAAAAACATTCAGCTAGGACATTCGCAGCGATTCTACAGAACAGAAATAAGGGACAACAGCAAGAGGAAAAACAGTAAAACTATCAAGACGTAGAGAATGGCAACTTTATTAAGTCAGAACAAGCCTAAAAACAGTAAATCTGAAGAGTTGAATTAATGGTTGACGGCTCTAATCACAGCTGATAATCAATATTTTAATTATATTTGCAAAATATAGAAAAAATGATTTCTCTAACCTTCACAACTGCAGCCGCTAAGAAATTCTTGGGCTACGGTCAAGTTCAAGCCAGGATCGCAGCTAAACCGGTCCTTTCGGTATTCGAAGTCATTTGGCTTGTCATCATCGACCTCGTTGATGCATTCAATTTTAATACCTTCTACTCCTTCCGAAATGTCATCAATGCGAACTCGTGGATTCAGCGGCTGGTAGGTTCTCGTCAACCATACTAGCGGTTCGAAAGAAAACAAATCTGGGGTCAGGTGGCTGTCAGTCATCCGAAGGTACTGAACGACTTCCTCAATGTTTCTACAAGTTCGCGCGCAAGGCGTACGATATAAGCAACAGTTGTTACAAATATTGAACACGGTGCTCCGCTTATCTGGTGTGTTAACGACCATATGAAACCGGTTCCAACCACATAAAATCGGTATATACAACGGATTCACGCCTCGATACAACAGTGGCTCATCTTCCACTGGCAAACACCCATTTGTGCACTTGTGAGGCTTGTACGGTTTCGAAGGTGGTGCTACAGAATGACGAACAAGGCAACTTTGAGCCTGATGCGTCCGTGTAGGTTTCATGTTCAGCCAAAGCGAATACTTCAGACTGCCCGTCGTGCGAATGCAGTCGTCATGGACGTCATTGCCGTTCACTAACTCTCTGTTCATGACGAGGGCGGTTGAATTTGCATACACCGTTTTCTTCGACTCTAATCAAACAATAAGTACCGAAGGAATTCATATCAATGCGAATTAAACGAGACAGTATAAACAGGCACAATCAAAAAGCATGTTATTTTGCAAAACGGCTCAAAAGTTTCTAAATGTACACTGGAAGTATTTTCCAACGAATTGCAACAATTTCAGCTCCTGAAATCTAAACAATTAAAAATTCCTTAACTAATTAATTTTGACATTTCATTTTAAAATGCTCACATTAGACAACTTTTGGTGCTTTGTCATTATTTACGGATCAGTATAACATCTTTTATTCTAACTCTATTTTACATAATTAAGCTAACATTCTTAACTACAAAATAAAAACCAGTCTTATGATACATAAATACTTTAACACTTAATATACACATGAATTCTCAACTAAGAATAAGGGTCATTTTCAACGCTTCTGTGTGACCATCAGTTTAAACCGTTTGCATATGCAGAACGTCTCTGGATTGTGACGCCCATTCTGTTGGCAGTTTCACAACAGT